CCCCCTAATATTACCGATCAACTCATATTAATTTGGGAAAGACCATGCTAACCCTTTGGAAACCACATGGTTTGATTGATGTGGGCAATTCATCACATACAAACAACACCCATGAATCATCATGATTTGAGGGTGGATGATATAGGTTTAAGCCTAATTATGAATCATCATGATTTGAGGGTGGATGATATAGGTTTAAGCCTAATTATTAGTCTTAAATGAGTTTAGGGACTTCTTCTCCATCATATAATTATTTTTTTCAAAGTCATGTTTTGTGTAGGGTCCCAATTCCCAAACCAACTCAACTAAACAAAGATGGTTCACACCCACAATCCCTATCACAAAATCACAATCAAATCCAAATTTGAACAAAAATGGGGTTTATATATATGACTTCTTAAAGTTGGGCCTTAAGGAGCGAAGATTAGAAGAGGTATATTCAGGGGTGGACCCAGAGGGCTTTAGGGGTATCCCGGGACACCCCTAAATTTTGGAAAAAGAATTAATCAACCTCCGGTGGTAATTTATGCATGGACAAAAAAATTATAATTGATGGTCCGGGACACCCTGAAATTTGAAAAAAACGATTATCCTACTCTCGTTTGTAGTTTACGTATGAGAATATAAGTGCTAGTTTGGATAATTCAAACTCGGGACACTACTATTATTAATAAATATAATTTTCATAAGGCTACAACTTTTTTGTTGTTCTATTCTAAACACTTTGTAATAGCAAAATCATATTCTCTATCTTTAATTATTTTCAAACCTAACAATTCATCTAATTACAAGCTACTCTTAATTTGTATTGATTTTATGGTTGTACGACAAGTGTTGAAAGTGTCTTTTCCGTTTGAGTTACTTCAAGAACAAATTTAGAGGTCGAATATGCGTCAGTTCGTGAATGAGCAGTGTAGACATCAAATGTATTTTATAATTTTTTCAGAATATGAAAATACATAATAGACTTTTTTTAACTTGTACGAGTTGGATATTTTCTTATTTAATTATTTTTATTTTACTTTATTTTTTGAAAGAGGATGCCCCTATGTAAAATTTCTGGGTCCGCCACTGGGTATATTAATACACCCATTTGATAGCAAAAGGTTATTGTTTGGCATGATACTATTAATATATAAAGAAGAAGTGAGGTTACTGTTGCCTAATAACTTAGTCACTTCTTCTTTATATAAATTACAACTTAGTACCCCACTTCTTATTTATATATATATTAAACCTCACTTCTTCTTACCTTTTATATTTTGATACTCCAAATTTAATTAAATTATAAGAAGTGAGGTTACTGTTGTCTAATAACTTAGTCACTTCTTCTATATATAAATTACAACTTAGTACCTCAATTCTTCTTTATATATATTAAACCTCACTTCTTCTTACATTTTACATTTTGATACCCAAATTTTATTTTTATGTAAAATCATTGAACAATTATGTTTTTATATCTAAATTTTATGAGATTTTCGTACCTACAATTTTTTTAATTTACATATTGGTCTAATGTTTATATTCCACTTGAATTCATGAATCCAATCCACCAATCCTTTTGAACCAATCCATGAATCCAATCCACCATAACATAAAAGTATAAATTTAGTTTGTACCATACAATATGTTGTATCACTCAACAGTAGGAGAAGATTCGACCATTTTATATTTGCTCATTATGTGAAACATAAAATAAATGATAAAAGAGAGACGACTCTAAAATATTGCAAAGGTGAATTTATAAACTCATTTAGTACATTTATGGGGTACTAAACAAACTTCTACTAACTACATGTAACAAAATACGCGACATCTACATAAGCAGGTGTCAATAAATTGCTACGGCGAAAGGGGTTAACTGTTGTATTGACGACCAACTAAAAGAATTGGTCAAAATCTTTCTATCATCTACTTACTCTTCGTTTCATGTTTCACTCGCCATCCATAACCCTTTCTTTATTTCATTATTTGCCTTCTTCGCCCAACCCTAATTGGTATACTATTATTTTTATGCATTCTAATCACAAGTATGAACGAGTCCATGCACGACTGACCAACAGTCTAGAGAATTGATAATTGAACCATGAACCACTAACTTTTTCAGTTCAATGTCGAGTCCAATTAAAAGAAAATATATATGGTTATTACTTATTACAAAGTCGACATTTTCCACTACGTGATTTGAAGGCATGAAATTTTAAGCGAGTTCCAGTTTGTATTCCTTTTACTTCTCTCTAGAGTTTGTATTTCATTTTGATACCCAAATTTTATTTTTATGTAAAATCATTGAACAATTATGTTTTTATATCTAAATTTTATGAGATTTTCGTACCTACAATTTTTTAAATGTACATATTGGTCCAATATTTATATTTCACTTGAATTCATGAATCCAATCTACCAATCCTTTTGAATCAATCCATGAATCCAATCCACCATAACATTAAAGTATAAATTTAGTTTGTATCATACAATATGTTGTATCACTCAACAGTAGGAGAAGATTCGACCATTTTATATTTGCTCATTATGTGAAACATAAAATAAATGATAAAAGAGAGACGACTCTAAAATATTGCAAAAGTGAATTTATAAACTCATTTAGCAAATATTTACTAAACAAACTTCTACTAACTACATGTAACAAAATACGCAACATCTAAATAAGCAAGTGCCAATAAATTGCTACGGCGAAAGGGGTTGACTGTTGTATTGACGGCCAACTAAACGAATTGGTCAAAACCTTTCCATCATCTACTTACTCTTCGTTTCATTTTTCACTCGCCTTCCATAACCCTTTCTTTATTTCTTTCTTTGCCTTCTTCGTCCAACCGTAATTGGTATACTATTATTTTTATGCATTCTAATCACAAGTATGAACGAGTCCATGCACGGCTGACCAACAATCTAGAGAATTAATAATTGAACCATGAACCACTAACTTTTTCAGTTCAATGTCGAGTCCAATTAAAAGAAAATATATATGGTTATTACTTATTACAAAGTCGTCATTTTCCACTACGGGATTTGAAGGCATGAAATTTTAAGCGAGTTCCAGTTTGTATTCCGTTTAATTCTCTCTAGAGTTTTTCTTTTTCACCTAGGCTAGAATTTTCAACAATTATACATGGAATGTTTGTCTAGGTATCTCGACATATTAGATAAATAGTTTTCATTTTCTATAAGAAAAGTAAATAATTATCATCTTAAATACATCACTATAAAAGGAATTAAGCCTCAACTATACAAATTACAGTTCGGTACCTAAAGATAATAGATCTTTAGATTTATAACCTAAATTTATTTTGTTGGCATATAGTCCTCAAAATAATGATGGGACATTACCTTTTAGTACCTATAATTTTTGTGTATTACATTTTGGTACCTAAACTTTTGAAGTTCTATAAATAGGTCTAATTTTTGTATATGTAAATAAAACACCATCGAATAAATGGGTATTCATACCCAACTCATACGCATTTATATTATGTAAGTAAATACCCAACCCTACACAAACCTATCTACAAACATTTAAACTCATATATACGTCACTCATACCCTACCCATAATCAATGGGTCTACTTGGATTTAAGTAAATATCATTTATTAGCCACATTTATAAAAAAAAATTGGATGTTGACCGTCATATTTCTCAGTCAATATTACTAAAACTGCTAACAAAAAATTAATTTTAGACTAATAATACTAACAAAACACTATAACGTGCCACATAATACATGTCCATATGTCATCTACGCCCACGACAAGGCGCGACATCGCCACCTAGTACTGCTATAAAGTGCGTGGTGTATATATAGCCCACCCATGTGGTGGTTCCATGTTGTTTATGTGGTTAATTGTAGTTTAATTACTTTGACTTCATATGCATGAAAATTTATAATAATGCGTGGTTCATGACGCTAAACAACGAGGTGTTTTTGCATCAAGAACACTAAAAAAGTTGACCGCTAAATGCTTCAGTAGACTAGTATTCGTACTTACAGGTCGAGCGCTTTATGCCCCAAAAGATATCCATCACCTGTCAGAAGATGGATAATTTTAATCATTCTCATTAATATGATGATGTGCAACACCTTATCAGGCTAAGTTGATCATGCATGATCTTGTGACTGATCATTTTACTTTTCTCTAAACATGCATATGCACTATAAAATACTTACATAGAAAACATAAAATTGTCTTATTTATCTAGAAGGTTTGTGATATAAGGTAGTTGTTCAATGACAGAGAATGGACTTGTGTGACAGTGAGGAATATATTTACAACTCCCCACTTGGACTTCTACTCAAATGAAGCAATATAAAAAAAGAACACCAAGTGGGATAAGACCATATGATTAGCTTGATAAACAAAACAAGCATCAAGTAGAGATGGGAAGCTCTTTCTAAATAAAAAAGAATAGAGATGGAATTGGGAAGTAGTGAAGTAAAGTTCAATTTACCTTCATTTCTCTTGCATGACTTCACAATGATTTTGGTCCAAGAGATGGTAAAGCTCAAAACTTTATTTTAGCTTTCCACTTTGTTAGCCTTTTCTCAAGCAATTTAAATTTACTACTCTATACATGAAATGTTTGAAACAAAATTTTGAAGATGACCTTATTTGTAATTATTATTGTTATAATTGCTCCTGTAATATGTACTAAAGAAAATTATGTTAAATAAGATTTTTTTAAAGCAATACATTACCATATATTTGAATATATATGACAAAAAATGAATTGGAAATAAAATGATTAATTTAGTCATGTATGTGTTTCAAACTTTCAATCATAATTTTGGTGTTCATTTCATTTATAAAAATATGTATGACATATTTAAGTTATTGATATCAAACTCGATTTTGATAATGAGTGACATCAACATACATGATCTAATTTTGTACCCATCAAGAAGATAAATCACAAATGAAAATACATAAATAATGAAACACAAAAACAAATACTATATATCTACCATCTTGGTCACCCCTTAATTGCTACTTCCACTACATATATTTGTCTTAATCCACACCAAACCCTCTATCAATCCAATAGATTAGCCCCTAAATCCAAAGTGACCAACTTTTTAAAAGAGAAGAAAAATCTCACATTTTAGATACATAATCTTTGACATTTCTTCCTTGGAAGTTGTTAATGCAACAAAATCTACCCATTCCCTCCTCCACTCCCCTCTGTTGGCTCCAAAAGATTCAATCTTTGGATGAAAAAAACAGTTTCCATGGTAGACATCCAAATTCCAAAGCACTTAAAAGCAGGAAGACAAGAAATGGTAAATATGAGCCATTTCTGGAGAAAGAGAAACGTTATGGATGAGTAAAGAGAAAAGATCACTATTACTGAGGGATGGTACCTTTGATTTAATGGGGAACACTATTGATTGATAGACCAAAGATTTTGCTTTCCCATTTTGCAAGAACATACACGGAAAGCAGGAAAGAAGAAAACTCCACAAAATAATATCATTTGCCATCACTAATTGCTAAATTGAAGAAGAATCATTGAATACCCACCAACAAAACAATCACCCTATGCAAACACATTCAACAACCTCTCATCAATGGGTTCCTTTCTCCCTCATTTATGAAAAAAAGCTTCCCCCCAACTTCTGTCCACTTCTTGCTTCCTCTTTCCCCCTTTTAGGCAATCTCCATCTCTCCCTTTCCTCTCACAGTTCCTTAAAAAGCTCCATTGCTAGTGAGAGAAGCTTCAATTTGAAGTTTGAACCATTGCTCTTTGTGTATTTCATTTGTTTCTTCTGTTGGATTCTACTGAAACCTCTTCTACAAGCCCAGACAAAGTGATGCTCACGTTCTTCTTCTTCATTGAGTCTTCCCCAAAAGTAAAAGCTGCCCTTTTGTTATCTCGAAATTCTCTCTCAGACCCACCTTTGGCTCTTCTGGGCTGCAGTTCTGGTCCCTTTTGAGCAATGAAAATGGCACCCTACCACCATATCACCATCCTTTAGCTCCTTGTAGTTTTCCTCCTGGAAAAGAGCTTGCTCTTTTTATCTGAATTGCTAAAAAAACTTCAGTCTTTAATCTCACTGTGGGTTGAGTGCTTGTTGAAATGGAGTTCCAAAGCCCAAAAGTCTGAGGCAGCAGCACCAGCAGCAGCACTTGTAAAAAAGACTGCTTTCTTTTGTTTTCTGGACAAAAGGTGCTTTCAGGGGGTTCCTTTCTGGTGTGTTTCCTTTGCATGTGAAGTAAAAAGGCAGCAGCTTTTTGGTTTGAGGCAGTTGATTCCAGATGGGTTTTGGATTCTTCGCCTCCATTTTGGTTCTTACACTGTTCTTCAAGCTTTCAGCTTCTCAACAGCCCAATACGGATGGGTATTTCGTGACTGAGTTCTTCAAGAACATGGGTAAAGCTTCCTCTCCACTTTACAACTCCTCATCTCCCGTTTGTTCATGGCCAGGTGTGTTCTGTGATTCCCAGAAAGAGCCCGTTGTGGGTTTAATGGTCTCTGGTCTGGAACTCGCTGGTCCAATCCCTGACATCACAATTGGGAAGCTGAGCAACCTCCGGACTCTAGATCTCAGCAGCAACAGAATCACTGCTTTGCCTTCAGACATGTGGAGCTTAAGCTCTCTCAAAACCCTCAATCTGTCTTCTAATCAGATTTCTGGCCTTCTCCCTAACGACATTGGCAATTTTGGTGGTTTGGAAACGCTTGATCTATCTGGAAACAGCTTCACTGGAGAAATCCCTTCAGCTGTGAGGTCTTTGCTCAGCTTGAAAGTTCTTAAGATTGGTGGAAATGGTTTTGAAGGTAGGATTCCAGTTGAGATTCTGAGTTGCATGTCGTTGGTCGTTTTGGATCTCTCGTTGAATAAGCTAAACGGGTCATTACCGGAAGGCTTTGGAGCTTCATTTCCAAATCTCCAAAGGCTCAATCTTGCTGGAAATGGGATTGAAGGAAGAGACTCGGACTTCACGGGCAAGAAGTCCTTGAATTTCCTCAACATTTCTGGGAATCTTTTCGAAGGACCTGCTATGGGTTTGTTTCAGGAAGGGTTGGAGGTGATGGATTTAAGCAGGAACAAGTTTGAAGGTCATATCTCTCAGGTACAATTCAGTTCCAACTTGGTTTATCTAGACTTGTCAGAGAATGAGTTGAGTGGAGAAATGTTTGGGGATTTCAGTCAAGCTAAGAATCTCAAGCATCTCAATCTTGCATTCAATAGATTCTCCAGGAAGGAATTCCCAGAAATCAATGAGGTTTCTAGTTTAGAGTATCTCAACTTGTCGAAAACTGGCGTCATTGGTTCAATTCCTGGTGAAATTTCCAAGCTTGGGAACCTCAATACACTTGATCTCTCTGATAATCATCTAACTGGGGATATACCTTCTTCATTGACCATGAAAAGCCTCCAAGTTCTGGACATCTCAAGCAACAACATGACTGGCGAAATCCCCTCGCAAGTGCTTCAAAAGCTTCCATGGATGTCGAGCTTCAACTTCTCTTCCAACAACTTCACCTTCTGTGGTGGTCCCGAAATCTCTTCCGAGATGATTCAGACTCGGTTGCATGGCTCATCAAACAGCTGCCCCATTGCTGCAAACCCAGATCTCTTCAAAGAAAAAACCCGCCGCCATAAGGGACAGAAGCTTGCCATAGCATTAACCATCTCGATGGTCACCTTGCTCGTGGCATTACTGCTATTCCTAGCCTTTGGTTGCAGGAGGAAGTCCAGAATGTGGCCAGTGAAGCAAATGTCTTACAAGGAAGAACAGAACATTTCGGGTCCCTTCTCGTTCCAGACTGATTCAACCACATGGGTTGCTGATGTGAAGCAGGCGAATTCAGTTGGAGTAGTGATATTCGAGAAGCCATTGTTGAACATCACATTTGCTGATCTCTTGGCAGCAACTTCAAACTTCGATCGTGGCACTCTTCTAGCCGAGGGCAAGTTTGGTCCTGTCTATAGTGGATTCCTACCCGGTGGAATCCATGTAGCTGTTAAAGTACTTGTCCATGGCTCTACATTGACAGAACAAGAAGCTGCTCGAGAGCTTGAGTATCTCGGTCGAATCAAGCACCCAAATCTCGTCCCATTGACTGGTTATTGCCTAGCTGGCGACCAGAGGATTGCCATCTATGACTACATGGAGAATGGCAACTTGCAGAATCTCTTGCACGATCTCCCACTCGGTGTTCAAGCAACTACAGACGATTGGACTACCGAGACATGGGAGAAAGATGACAACAATGGGATTCAAAATGTGGGCTCTGAAGGTTTACTAACTACATGGGCATTTAGGCACAAGATTGCTCTCGGGACAGCTCGTGCGTTGGCATTCCTGCACCATGGATGCTCTCCGCCAATCATTCACAGAGATGTCAAGGCCAGCAGTGTTTACTTGGACTACAACTTGGAGCCAAGGTTGTCTGACTTCGGGTTAGCTAAGGTCTTTGGAAATGGGTTGGATGAGGAGATTGCTCGTGGCTCGCCGGGTTACTCCCCACCAGAGTTCTCTGACCCGGGTTATGATATTCCAACACCCAAGTCTGATGTCTATTGCTATGGGGTGATTCTGTTTGAGCTCATCTCAGGGAAGAAGCCGGTTGAAGATGACTACCATGAAGAGAGAGATGGCAGTTTAGTCAGTTGGGTTAGAGGGTTGGTGAGAAAGAACCAAAGCCTGAGAGCTATTGATCCGAAGATTCGAGGTACAGGATTGGAGCGAGACATGGCGGAAGCTCTGAAGATCGGTTACCTATGCACGGCCGATCTTCCATCGAAGCGGCCGAGCATGCAGCAGGTAGTTGGACTTCTTAAAGATATTGAACCAAGAAGTTAGGGAAGAAAGCTTGTTCTTTATTTATCACCCTTGTTTGTTTTCTAAGTGAACTCCTTTTGGCTTCAACATTTTGCTGTGTGCTACGGGGGGTGTTATGTACAGTAGTGGTAGAAGTCCTTGAAACAGATGTTTTAGGGCAGATTTTTCATCCTCTTCTTTTGGTTCCTATGATCATCATCCCTTCCCCCATTGTCATTTGTTGGTATCACAGAATTTTAATCGATACATGCAGAAAGTTTCAATCTTTGGAACCAACATTGTGTTTCCAATGCATTTATTCAAAGCATTCATGAAGCTGCTGCTGCTGTTGAACTGTTTAGGCAAGCATCCACATTTAAGCAGGTTGCTAGGATGATTGGTTGCTGTGAAGAACCGATTCGAATCTGATCCAGAACCATATGGTTCTATACTTTATATTCGAAAACACAGTGAAGAACCAGTTCGAAAATGAAGGAACGAATCAGACCAACGAAACATTTGGTTCTATTTGGTATGATCTAGCTCAATCCAAACCCAATAAGTTAACTAAACTTTAACTATCAAAATCGAATCAAACTATACTCCGATCTAATCGCGATCTAGATATCAGGTCGTTTGCACTCAGTCCCGGTTTATGAACCGAATTGTTACCCTCTCACATGGACCACCCACTGGCTGGCTGAGCTGAGAGCCATGAAGTTGGTCATAGGATCTCTGTTGGCTCATCTTCACAAGAGGGGCATAAAACTATATAGAATAAAATTTGGGGCATGTGATGTGCATTATGAGCCCTGGTGTTGCTTCAAGGTCTTTCATGTGGGAACCTGCTGGTGATGTTCTGTACTTTGCATGATTAGAGGGGAAAGACTTAAAAGAATGAAAGGTGGCAGAGCATACAAGAAAGAATAGAGGTTTCTTAATAATCCAATTCTCTGGCACTCAAATGATGGTGGTAAGCATGATCTCTTTGTAAGAATAATAAGGGGAAAGAGGGTTAAGTTCTCCATGTTGATTGGTTGGTTGGCTTGTCATGCATGTGCTAATTACTTTGACTAATTGCACAGAAATCAACTCTTCCCTCTCCTTTATTCTTTCTAGTACTTATCAGTTATCACTAACTAGGTTTAATTCATTTAGTATATTAGTAAAAAAATATTTTATCTAAAGACGATTCAGATATGAGAATCATATGAAGCAAGCACGTCTCAAATGACTCACATGCCACATGTGTTAAAAGTTCAAGTTATACTTCTTATTTCCACTCTTAAGTTTTACAAATCTTCTCGATTATTTATGATAGATCCTTATTTATGATAGATCCATAACAGAGCTGGATCAAGGGGTTGAAAGATGAATAATAGAAACTAGCCTCATAACCTCCTCCCCCCCCCCCCCCCCCCCCCCCTTGTTAAGAGATTTTACAATACCTAATTGTAAGCCATCATATGGATTTGGACCTGAAACCTCTAATTCAAAATCACCTATTTAAGTGATTCGTTGCAACACAATCAAACATATAACACCTAACCAAGAGAGCACATAATCAAGTTTTTAGGTATCTAATTTTTCTGGTATCCAATTTTTAGGGGTATACATGAAACCCTTATCGAGTTATATAGTTTATGTTTGGTGGGAACAATTATTGTATAGTGTGTGTCTTTGTGTCATTCATAAGTCACACAACCTCGCCAACATCGATTCATGGGCAGGACTCAAAAGCAGAGAATCTTTGTGTTTATGTTCCTTTTCCTCTCTTCATTCTAAAGGTTAGAGTGCCCATTCCTCACACGTTGTAACTTCACAACTCACAAGTGCCATGGAGAAAAAGCAATCAACCGTTCGACCTTAATAAGTGAACCTGCACTAGTTCGACCTGTTCGTATCGATTGAATCGCATGTGTTGAATATAAAATTGGTATCATCAACCATTATTTCATATAACAGTTCATCTTTGATTACATAAATTTTTCATCGTCGCAATTTACTATTGAACTCGAAGTAGTTAATTTTGTCTGTTTGATTCCGTACAATTTGTATCGTCAAGGCTATAGCGTGTAAGACATTGATACAAGATCTATAATTTACCTTTTCTCAAGTCTCAACAACTCGAAATATTCATGATCAATTGGTTTATGATATGATATAAGAGCTGATTTGATCAAGTGGTTGTATGTTCGAATCTCCACGACTACATTATTAAAAGTTGATTAAAAGTTGATTGAAGCACAAATGAAAAATCTCTACCTTGAAGTACAAATTAAGTGATGCCTCATCTTAAAAGAAAACCTTATGGTAAGTGATTCCTGCAAGTGAAACTATTGAGACCGAACCTGTGATCATTCATCATTGGTGCACACAAAAGAAATTGTGGGGGAGAAACGTTTGTTGTGGACCAGGCCTTGGTAGTAGCTGTGGGCCCAAGAAAGCGCCAACCCAGCCCAACAGTCTTCAAGCCCATATATAGGTACCTTGGCAAGTTTTAGTAAACAGTTGAGTGTATCAATTGCCCGAATATCATGAGCGTTGGGATGAAAATTATAAGGTGGGTGATTTGAAATCTACGAACTTCGAATCAGTGTATTCTACTCTCTTTCGGTAAAGATTATTCGACGACGTCTCGACGAGGAGTGTTTTTTTTGTTGAGAAGAGGTGGTGTTAGTGTGTTAGTGGTGGACCAATTGTGAAGACATTTCATGCAAAGAAAATGATGCTACCGAAAGAAGAAAACTTTGAGATTTTAGTCCACGAGAATACTATTCTCCTTGATGTTTTCAAGGGACCCAGGAGGCACTATCCCACTCCCATGGTCAGTTCAGCACCGGATTCCACATACCTTCAACACCACTAGCACAAAGATCAGAGGAGAGAATCAATGAAAAAGGGATAGGAAATATGGAAACTTACCAAGTTTACTTGACAAAAGAAGAAAATGGAACAATGGACAAAATAGAAAACTGAGAAGCAAGATCTTGGAGGAAGCATGTAATCTAGACAAGATCATCTTGAGATTCATTCGATCTGTGCGATCCGAACATACCTATTCTGCTCGTGTAGTTACTGGTTAGGTACTTGGGTTGTATACTTGAAATCATCAAAATGATCATAGAACATGCGCATCGAGATTAAAAACAAAAGACTCATCATAACCTAAGAATATCAATTTGTTTCGATGTGAAATTGAGACTCGATGCACAAATCTGGCAGCAAAGAAAGTTAGAAAGTAGCTAAGGTAGTAGATCGTTTTTTACCATTGAGAAGAAAGTATGCATTTGGTAGTTAATGGAGCGAATGGATGATGCCTTAATGCTAGAGACTGTCAGGAACCAGTTTATCCCAATAACTCGAGTTGTTGGGAGAGATTCAGTCGTGGATCATATACCACAACACTAATACGCCCCCTCAAACGAAAGCCACTTACAAGGGCTCAAAGTTTGCACAGATCTGAAGACAAGAATACCATGTGCTTAACAAATAGGGGTCATCAGGAATCGAACACAAGACCTCTCGGTCACAGAAGGCTCTGATACCATGTCATAAACCAGTTGGTCCCAATAACTCGAGTTGTTGGCTTACTGTAAACTCGATAGTCTGTTACCAAAGTGTATTATATATTCAACATATCAATAATACAGAACTAAAGGGGTTTCAGAACATTTACATATAGTACGAGAATTGGCAACATTGTAGGCGAGAAAGCAGGGACGATTATCGTTTTATCGTACCTTTTTTCCTATGAACCTGGGAGGGAGTTCAATCACCCGTGCAAAGCTGGTTCGAATTGTGCATGACACCAAGATCATTTGAGAACTAGGGGTGGAAAATGCTTCTATACGTAAACTCTAGTATAACCAAACAACCGATGAAGACAGTCACACCTTCACACTCACATTACTCAACAGTATTAGAAAATATACATATCTTAGAGGTTATCTTTACTATCGATTATGTAACTTTGCTTGGCCATTCTTTGTCCGTTTGAGATAACAGTTTTCAATTTTCTTATAATTTTCTTGGGTAGAGTTGTTCTTTGATCACATTGGAGTTGAAACTCCCAGAATACTATTGCATAAAGTTTGTGCCTTTGCGCAATTGCGCCTCAATTTTTCACTCTAAAAAAAAAAATCATAACTGAACGTCAAAATTTAAATGTACCGGAATTATCACAATGTAAAAGTTCAGGAGCCAATCAGGTACAGGAAAATAGAAGTAGGGGCAGAAAACAAATTTGTACACAAGGGCTAAACCTCAAGGAAATATCCAACGGCCAGGATCAAATCGCATGGCCGTATGATTAACCGTGGTTAAGTCGGAGAGAGCTTAACCTAACTCGCCATAAAATAGGAATTCGGCTTTGCAATCAGGTCGTCGTCTTCTCCCTCAAATCCCTACTCCAAATCCTCGCCGTTGCACAGAGAAAAAGAGAAATCCCTCAAGCAACCATGTCGGATGAGGAGCACCAGTTCGAATCCAAGGCTGATGCCGGAGCTTCCAAGACCTATCCGCAGCAGGCTGGTACCATTCGCAAAAATGGCTACATAGTCATCAAGAACCGTCCCTGCAAGGTCTGTATCTTGGATCCTTCTTATCCACAAACCCTTTTTTCGATCTGGGTTCATCCGATTTTTTGTGGGTTATCGTATTTGTTTCTTATGAGTATCGGATTGATGGATCGATCCACTGTCACTCGTCTGATGGTGATGTTCTTACTCTGCAGAATAGTATTTTGTGGGTTGTGTTGATGGGTCGAATTAGTAACGATTTGGTTAGCCGATTGGCAACTAATACCCTCTCTAGAATAGTTTGTGATTGGGTTGTGTTGTGTTGTGTTGATGGTCCCTATGGCTGTTAATGGCTTTTTAGTTATCTGATTGGCAACTGTTAGTATACGGTGATGAAATTTTCATTAGCTGGTTGCTGTGGCCTCTATCAGAGATTGGTTCTTGAGTGTATTGTGAAGATTTGAATGGAATGGTACAAGTCACAGCCTTTTGTCTTTCCGAACTGTGTTTTTGTGATCCATTAATTGGTGTGTTTTGCTTTGAACAGGTTGTTGAGGTTTCCACCTCAAAGACTGGCAAGCACGGCCACGCTAAGTGTCACTTTGTGGCCATTGATATCTTCAATGGGAAGAAGCTTGAGGATATTGTTCCTTCGTCCCATAACTGTGATGTAATTTCGCAGCTTCTTTGCTTGTTCCGTGTACTTTTATGCTGTGTTTATGTGTTTCTCGCTTAAAGTTGGTTGATTTTGTTTTTTGCCTTACAGGTTCCACATGTCAACCGTACTGATTATCAGCTCATCGACATCTCTGAAGATGGCTTTGTAAGTACCAATTGAGGTTGCAAAAGTTGCACGCTTTTGTATCATTCAAGCATGGAATTTCCGTTGGGCAGTACAAATGTACAAGTCCTTGTTTTATGCTGACTTCACTGAGCTTTTAGCTAATCCAGTTTCTTTTGTACTGCTTGAAGGTGAGTCTTCTGACTGAGAATGGGAATACCAAAGATGACCTGAGGCTTCCCACCGATGAGGCTCTGCTTGCTCAGGTAAGATCCAATACACCTTTTTTACCAGCTTGTTATTCATTTTGAATGTCTCTGAAGTCTGAACACAGCTGTTGAAGTTGTTTATAAACTGAAAAAAGTTCATTGGTTCTTTGTTTGTCGATCAGATCAAAGATGGGTTTGCAGAAGGAAAGGACCTCGTGGTGTCAGTCATGTCAGCAATGGGAGAGGAACAGATCAATGGTCTCAAGGACATTGGCAAGAACTAGAAGAAGATGATGCTGTAGCATTTTAGCTATAGTTGATTGCAAAACAACTGGTTTTATGGGAGCTGACGATGATTCTTATCTCTACTATGCATGTCTCTGAACAAGAACTTCCTTTTTTTTATCAAGAATGTGTCGATTGTGGTGTTTGAAAGAAAGCTCATAATGTTTGTTCTCGAAGTGGCGAGAAAGAAAAAGGGCCAGAGAGAGCAAGCAGCTGCTGCTGTTTGATTTCCTGATTGCAGTGCTACTACTTGTTACATGGCTGTAGAAGGATACATAGACGGATACTTTCTACTTCATGTCCTTCTGTTCTTTGCTTTGAGACGAATGGTTAATATCGATGTCGGTTATCCTGTGTTTGGTGATCTGTTCTTGAATTGGATGTGCTTCATCTGTACACGATGAGGAAGTCTTGTTTGCTCGTTAGTAATTGAGCCTTTACTCTTCAGGGTCTCATGTTCTGTCGCCCTCATGCTGAATGCTGTTCTGAACCTGGCTGCAATTTGCAACAAAGGATGGATTTGGTTTTGTTCTTTTTAGCTGAAATGGCTAGGAAATTGTTGCTTAGCCATCTCATATGTCATATAATCGTTATTAAATTGTGGTAAGTCACGAGTAGTCTAGTACGAGATTTGGTACGGTTCATCTCTGTAGATAGGTGGACAAAGAAAGCCGACGTTAAACTACATAATAGCTGCGTATTCTGCTTCATTCCAACCAAATATTGCTGTTGTTCAATGGCTATATGTTCAAATACCTTTGTACGATACAATGGGCTGATATAAACTAAAAGATGCAACAATAATGATTAATGGCTTAGACTAAAGGGATCACTATGGAATGGCTTCTTTCTTGGGTGAGAAAGACAGACTTCCATAGATGTAAGAACAGAATCCCCAGAAAGTAATCACTAGAGACAGAATCTTGAACCCGCTCATTGGATCGTGCAGCAGGATCACTGCAGCAATGCTGGTGAGAGGCACCCGGATCGCATTAAGCACCCCAGCCAGCACAGTGTTCGACAAGAACAGCACAGCAGTTCCACCCAAGATCCCGGCCTGGAACGTAATCACACCAAACACCAGTACCAGAATGTACGCACTTTCGCCTCCCTTGAACTTCACAGCCTCGGAGCTCATTTTTCCGAAATCATGATTCGCAATGACTCCAATTGAGGTGAACAAGAAGCCGAAGAAGGACACCATCACCTGCTGCTCCAAGACAACGTGGAAGGATCTCCGTCCCAGGAGCTTGACAAAGACTAGCTCCGAGAGGGCAAAGATCAGGCCATGGAGAGCCGATGCCAGGATGTCCCATATGAACCCCATGATGTACTGCTTGTCGCTTACATTCCCATACCTGCGCATTCACCTCAAATCAGATACATACGAGGAATAATTATGAGAAAACAGTTTTTTATTTGGTATCAACCTTAACCGGGAATGTAATGCACATTTGTACTACCTGTCGGAGTCCGAGTCCAGGGCAATGATCGCCATGGCAGCAGTGATCACGACAATGGAGTTGATCATGGAGGCATTCAGCTTGTTGTTAACTATAAAGTAGCCACACAATGTGGAGAAGATGAGCGACGATGAAGCCAAGAGGGAAGAGGTGGAAGCCGGGAGGTAAGCGTAGGCGTATGCATACATGAGATTGTCTGCTCCACTCAGGAACCCGAGAACAATGTATGATGCAACGAGCTTGAACGTGAGGGGAGTAGGCGATTTTTTACAGATGACATATGTTGGGAGGAGGATTAAGGCAGACAAGGGCCACCCGGCAACTGCTACCCATGAGATGATCCACTTGCTTGTGCCGCCATTGGAGTAGTAGACACGGGATAAGAGGCTCGAAGCTGGGAAGGCCACGAGCATGGCGAGACTGCTTAGAAACAGAAGGATCCAGTGCGATACTGCCTTGGCGTTGAATGCTAGCCAGAACTCGGCCTTGAATTCTGAAATTCTGCCCCTCCATGTCGTGGCTGGTTTTGCTGGTGATGATTCTTCTTCTTCTTCCATTGTTTCACCTGGCATGATCAACAATCCTGAGAAAATTACAGTCTGAATTAGCTCATCTAGCTGCTAATGCAGAGTCCAATTTGCTGCAAACTGACGAACTTCACTGATTTTTAGCAACCCCAACAGAGTCCCACCAGACTCCTACTTCTACCTACTAACAAACTGCTAACAAACAGAAACAGAGGTCCAATTCATGCCCCCCTTCTGCTCAAGATTCGTAGTTGTATAACTCTTGGAAATGTCAAGAAAAAAGGGAACCCCTCGTCCTCTTAAGACATAGTAGTAGACACTTTTAGAACTTAAGATTAAAAAAACACTTCAAAGTCTCCTTCTTTCTCAGCTGATATCATCCCCAACTCACAGAATTCCACTAACAAGCATCCCACCCATCAGTCTTTTCTCATAGACGCAATTCGACAAACACCTTCCCGTCATTCCCATCCACACACGACCGATTCCCAACAGCAAAACAACAACCAATCAATCCCATCGCCGAACGGGCATAATCAGAAAGGGTAAAGGACAAGGAGAAACGAACCGGGAGATGGAAGCAAAAGCGGCTCCTGCTGCTCCTGATCTTGGCGGGAATCGACCATGTAATCCAACTGAGGAAGATGAGGGTATTCTTATAACACACTAGATCGGCGGCTCAAATCACCGCCATCTGTCGAGCCCTCGAGCTAGAATTCCGTGGCCGGCGTCGAAAAGAAGAAATAACAGAGAGTGAGAGCGACGGATGTCGAAAAAAACTGAATCGCGGACGGGGGAAGCTTCCTATTGGGTTTCGTCAAGAACCGAAATTTGACTTGGATTCCATTTGCCAGACCGACGCCGCCGACAGACACTGATTCCAGCCCGCTCGCTGGCGGTAGCGCTCTTGTGGTTCGTGTAAAATGCCTGTTTTTCCATTTTATTACTTGTTTTTTCGACAGAGGATTCGCTTCTGGATTTTTAATAATAATAATAATTCTAATTCTCGTCTGACTTTTTCAACCTTAAACTAAACACTAGCTTTTACCCGACCCGTTGGTAGGATGAATTTCATTTCATTTGCTATAATTTATGTTAATCAATTGATTCATATATTTAAATGATTCACTCTTTTAAATAGCTTATATATAATTTGAAAGTAATTTTTGTGATGATTATTGTTTGAGACATTTCATATAATTAGTTTATAAATACTTTTTTTACATAAGATCATCATAACGTACAAATTTAAATATACCGTTCATATTTAAGAAGAAAAATTTTCACTTTTTATTATCCATATAAATAACTTAAGAATGATTTTTTGATGAAATTCAGTATTATTAACATATTAAACTTACCTGGCAAGCACAAAAAATAGGCAGCAAACGCTGAAAACCTATGGAACATGCCAAATTTCTAGCTACTGAAAGCAAGTTTTGGATTATTGTTTGCAACTTTCAAGTTCTTTGACCATTTAACCTTGTTAATTGTACATAAGGAGAAGTTGTAACACACTTTGGTTGAAATCATAACTAACCAAGACCAAACTCATATGTAACAGGATGGTAAAAAAGAATAAGGGAAATTTCAAAGAATTAAGCACAATCCTGACTGCCTAAGAGATTGATGGAGTAGGAAGTGCTAGAAGCACTTTTAATTTTCTGAAAATGGTGACATTTATTCAATCATATATGTTGAAGGCTTTAATTACAAACTAAAGACACCCTTTAAGTTGGGGCCAAAACAGTAGCTCGATGGAAATAAGAAAGATTATGATTATATGATCATACATACTACAAGCTCCCTTCTTTATGGACCAAAATAGTTGCCCTTTTCAGACATTTAAATGAAGCACCTGCAGAAAATTCTCTTGCTCAATCATCTGTATACAACCTTGTTTCTATACGGCTTTCATGGACAATCTGTTGACATAGTACATGTATATGCCTGTAATCAGTACCATGCTTATCCAGATGGACAAAGCTTCATTTCGGTTTCCAATCCCCTTGAGTCCGTGTTACATCTCTGGTTCTTATTCCCAAGTGATGCAGCACCTTAGTTGTTTGTTGTTGGTCTGCACGATCTCTAATTCACCATGATATCAGCATCCTCTCTCCTTCATACTGCTGTAAGCAGGGCGCATCAATGGCCGACCTTCCGCTTCGAGTTTGATCTGTTTAAAATCATGCAAGAAAATCTCTACATTATCATGTCCCGGCTCGCATCTCTAACTACCTCTACCTTTGTCGATTCCTTCATCAGGTCGTCACTCCTAGTCCTGTGTGTAATGTAGAGCCTTAAAACCATCAAACCAAAACCCAGATAAGTTGATCCACAAACCAGCATTTCTAGTCTGTTCCGCACATCTTCCCCGTGAGCAAAATCATTACTTCAAGATCACTATCAAACTCAAGTTCTAATCACATGAACCAAACCAGCGGTAGCCTAGACTCTTTCAGCATGTATCAGTGGAGTTTCAAAATACACATAATACTCCCACTGCCACCCATTCAGTTTTCCATTCACAAAATAGAAAACTGCAGTTGAAATTGAAATGGAGTGAGAAAGGCCAAGCTTTTCTAGGTTTGTAGTGATCTTGAGAGTTGAAAGTGTATGAAGGAGACTTTGGTAAATATGATAATTATATACAACTGATTAGGTAGCAATTGGTAATACATTTAAGTATATAACAGACTGACCCTCCTTTTTTATAATATGTGGCCCTCCTTTTCATTATTATCATCTCACGTAAACTAAAAGTTCAACAATAATACTGTATCGACATACCATGAATATAAATTATCTGAATTATCGCTTAGCAATAATACCATATCAACACATCATCTTTATAAATTATAACGGCCATATCATTTGAATATGTTTGAAAGTTAATTCATCATGGCATAGTAGGCAGGAAACGATATGCATATAGTTCTGTTAGCACTAGAGTTTATGACAAACCCACCGACTGATCAGCCACATAAATTCCTAGGAATCATGGCATAACATCTTACAACAAATCGATAGTCGTTTACAAACACCGTAATCCAAAAACTCACAATAGGCAAAATGAAACTATATGCAATTAAACAAAAGAGAACAAATCAAATTTAATACCCTAACTCTATAAGAATATAGAGCAACCCAGTAGGTAGAGGTCAAATTTCCATATGAAGAAAAAAGCTTTTGAGCTATAAAAGTGAGATTGTGTGAAATAATGAAACCACAATACGCAACATATAATAACTTCCTCAAACTCAATTGTTTGCATTAGCCAGGTAACTTATGAGAACTATGTTTTGCTACCAAACAAACACATTCCCCATGGTTCCAAAACAGACCAAATGTTCTAGAAAAATATCATGGAAAAAAGAACTCAGTTTATTATTTGTTCTATATTCCATTCAAGTACCAAGAAGGACAAAGAGAAAAGATATTAAAGCGTAAACCAGGTTACCTAACAAACTTGTCCCTTTGACCAAACAGGTACCAGGTCTTTACCCAATCTTACATCTTGGGAGTTGTATACATCACATGCAAGTTAGTAAGCAATAGATTTCGATTAACGCATGACCCAAAATTGTGGATTCTATCCTCCTTTCTTATCCCAATTTCACATCCAAACTTTAAAGTGGTTGATACTATCATGTCTAGTGTCGGCGCAAAGCATATAACCAACAACTTCACTATAAAGCCAAGCACACATTACTTGAGAAAATTTGAGCAGAAAAAAAGCTATTCAGCAAACATATCTACATTACATAAATAACTGCAGGTTTTATCTATACAGTATACACAATCTGCGCTAGATAAGTTTGACTCCTATGATCGTGTTTTTGGGATTCCTTACCAAAATGTGCTCGCACTACCATTTGTTCAAAATACCACAGCGAATCGCAGCACTACCAGTCATGCATATTCTCTTTCTAATTTCGACTTAAGTACATATTTAGAGCAAAATTTTAGAATCAAGGATTCTCCTGTTGGAATAATTAACACCAAAAGGCTTGTAATTGCATATTCCTAACTAAGTCTTTGAAAATAATTACGTGGACAATGAATGAAGGTGAAAGAACCAAAATCAAAACTCGTGCAGGGAGGAACAAATACCTGGGAATTGGTGCACATTAGTCGTGGAAGCTACTAAAATATCCCTGCTCCTTCACCGCGTTGGTATTTCTCCGTCGGTTATCAATCAAGTCATGAAAAATTGTGAATGACTTCTTATAATCCCTGCAAGATCAATAGCTCAGGGGTAGGTATCTCAGCAAGCAGGCAGCCACAATGACACAATACAATAGGTGAAATATGAATATGAATTCATGATTACTTACAAAAAAAGTAGGAAAAGACAACATTAAAGGGGAAGCTCATGGCTGGTGTGTTTTCGTAGCTCTACTTGACAGATTGTCATCTGTTCCCCAAGACACCCTCAATGCATTACCTTATTGGGTCATTATCTACAGTTTCCGGCAGGTGAACCCTTTTCACTAAAACTAATAGAACAGTGTATGAATGAATGAACGAATTACCAATTCAATTATGATAGATAGAGATACAAAGGTCTCAGCCTTAATTGTTTTGCAGGTGAAGGAAAAAACACCACCAGGAACTCATCGACTCTCGTTACAACTCCAATTCCCTATCATGCTGACTTTTGGGTCATAAGGGGAAAGAAAACTCATGAAATGAAATGTAGCACCGACGGATTTGGAGGATTAATGGAACTGCAAAAAAGAAAAACAGACTTATATAAGAGAAATAAATCACCTGAAATCAAAGACAGTTTCTAGGTCTGAATCTTCTCTGGTTCCTCTCCAGATCTCCCAAATATGCTCCTTGAGGCTTCCAACTCCGCCTGTGTCCAAAGAAACCCACCAGCGGAAAAACTCCAACAACAGCAAAACACTGGATCACATACGTCCAGTACCCTGATTTTGTTGGCCTTTCCCCAAATTGATGAACGAATTTCTAACAGTGAACTCGCTGCTAACTCCTTCAAATCAATTAAACAAATGCTTCGGGGAAGAGAGACAAAAACACTGAATCGATTGGAGATGGAGAGATGAACGATCATCTAACCACACAATCCTAAAAATATGGGACATAATCCACCTAGGAGCTCTAAAAGCCGTCATTTGATTGCTCCGAGCTCCGATGGTTCCAAAAAAAAAAAAAGATTAAGGAAATACGTGTGTGAAGAAAAGGGAACATGGACATGAGATCTTAAAGAAATAGATTGGAAATTAAAGTGAAAAGGAGAGATCTCACCCTTTACCTCTTGTGCAGTCGTCATATAGATGCTTGATGTTCTCATTTCTGCTTCGCACTACGGTTATGATATCCCAGATCTGCTTCCTTGGAAGGCGCATATAAGATTGCTCACAACTTAGGTAACCAGTTCGCGGAGCGAGAACGAGAGCGGGATGAGAACGTCGATATATATTTAAACATATTATGAATTATATGTACATAATACAAATACATAATTAAATATTTAAGTTGCATGGTTATTACTTGTTAGTTTCATTGAAAGAAATTTATCCTAATTCCAATGTTTTCTTTTTTTATGCAAAAATTTCAAAGTCTTAAAAGAGAAATCAAGCGGATAACTCAAAACTAAAAGCAATTTGATGATACACGTGGCACAAAGAAAAAAGAAAACCACAAAGCCAACTCTCCATCTTCCTTGTTAACTCCGCCTTTCTCTCTATTAGCAGTTCCAAACTCTGCAACTGCATTATCAGGGGCGGAGCTACAGCATGTCTCGGGGGGGCCCCGGGCCCCCCGAGAATCTCGAAAGTCACGTATAAATAAGTCGGGATCGTGTGTACAAACTATAATTTATATATAAAATATAACCCGTGCAAACTTAAGACATAAAGTTTCTTGTAGCCTAGCGGAAGATGAAATATTTATAACCCAAAGGTCTCGGGTTCGATTCCAAAGGAAAGTAGTTTATAGCTTTCCCCTAGGTTAATTACTTTTATGATAGTTTACCTAAACTACAACTTCTCCTTCCTTTTCTTTTATATTAAGCAGGCATTAATTACTTTTATGATAGTTTACCTAAACTACAACTTCTCCTTCCTTTTCTTTTATAGTAAGCAGGCATTAGATACTTTAGTCATTAACTTTGTAATTTTTATTTTCCTTTTTAAATTGTAGTTTACATCAATTAATTACCGCTTTTGCTTCTTGCAATATATTATTTTTTATTATTCTAATTTATAGTAAATATAATGTGAAAAATATTTTATATGGTTATAATAAAACAAAATTAGTATAAAAATAGATTTTTAAACCTAAATATTTTAATTATTAGTATTTTTTTAGTCTTTTGCAGTAATGTATTATGAAATCCGGCCCCCCGAGCACTAAATGCTAGCTCCGCCCCTGTCCATTATGCAGTGGCGGACCCAAAATTTTTTCATAGGGGTGTCCTCTTTTAAAAAATTAATTTAATAAAAATAATTAATAAAAATAAAATTGTAAATATGAAAATACCTTACTCGTACAGGTTAAAAAATCCATGATGTGTTTTCATATTCGAAATTAATTGTAGAATACACTTGGTGTTTATAGTGTTAAAAAAATTGTCTCTATATACACTACTAGACAATCATTCACGAACTTATCGCATATTCGATTTGTAAACTTGTTCTTGATATAACCCAAAGTTGAAAGACTCTTTCAACACTTGCCGTACAATCATAAAATCAATACAAATTAAGGGTAGTTTGAAATTAGTTTAATTGTTAGGGTTTTAAAATAATTAGAGATAGGGAATGCCATTTTACTATTACACATTATTCAAAATCGAACAACAAATGAGTTTAGCTCAACGGAAATTAAGTTTATTAATAATAATAGTACTCTAAATTTGAATTATCCAACCTACCACTTATATTCCTATACACAAATGACAGTAGGATAATCATTTTTTCAAATTTAAGGGGTATCCCTCACTATCAATTATATTTTTTTTGTCCATACATAAATTACTACCGGAGGTTGGATAATCGTTTTCTCAAAATTTAGGGGTGTCCGGGGACACCCCTAAACCACCCTGGGTCCGCCCCTGCCATTATGTATCTTGTTTCCGATTTTCTGTTCCTTCAAATTCTGCTTCTGTTCTGTTCTTCTTCTCTGTAGAATTTAGGGAGAAAGTATTGCTCTTTCCTCGAGCTCTTCTTCCAGTCTCATATGAGGTTGGTTTTTTCACAGCCAGAGAACAACCTCTGCATATGTCGCTGACCCATCGTTCTTTGATTTCCTCGATTTTAGAAGCCAGATTTTGGGGAAGGTATTAACTTGTGCAAATAAACGATTTCCTTCCCAATTCATAGCTAGCTATTGGTCAGTTTCAAGCTTAGCAATCTGAATTTCAGGATCCGCACTCTATCCCTTTACAATTCGCGCTCCGGATAAATATAAGTCGCGATTTTCTTACGATTTGTTGGAAGCGCGTTTTGGCGCTCTCGCGCGGGAGCGGCACCCCTACACCAACGAATTAGGTAACCTAACTCACAACTCACAATCTTCAACCATCTTCAACCGAAGCGGAGAGGGAAACCGCCGGCTGAAATCCCAGCCACGTCAGCACACCGAAAATCACTCTAAAGGCAGGATTTTTTGAATGGTGGTGGCAGTTATACGTTTCCACTATAAATTATACTTTTGATTAATTTTCAGCAAGTGGGACAGTTTAGTGATGGCAATAGGGCGGACAATACGGGTACTTCAATATTCAGCGGCAAAGGTATGGGCGAGCCGGATCAAACTACTCTTGCATATTATTTGAAAAAAAATATATGCAAATTTTTTTTAATGATAAAATGAAGGAAAACACTTTAAAAATAAAAAGAGTGATAATAGAACGAGTAAAATTAGTTGAAAAATTAAGTCTAACTAGTTGAATAAAAGTCAAAATCGGAGAAATATGAATAGATTTTGTAAGAAATTGAGATGGGATGAGCCAAAAATGGGACCGGGCGGGTTGAAAGTAAATACAAATGCCCCGTCTCATACTACTGTGTCTCGAGTCACCCCATCGCGAGTTAGGTCCGATAATACCCGACAAGGTGAGTTCAAATTGCCATCCCAGCTCAAGTGATTTTGTTGATTTCGTTTTTTTATAAGAGTGATATAGATTAGTTTTTGTGATTAAGGTACTAATTAAGGGATTTAAATTTGGGACCTCTAGGTTGTAGGAGGTCTGGACATGTATTGATTTTGTAAATAAATGAATACATGTCCAGACCGCCCAAATACGCCGCCACTAATTGGTGCTTCGTGGTCATTATTTGCAAAATCATATTGACGATCCGACTGGAAAAATCAATTGTTGGCGTCCACATTAATAGGGCTTTAGCTATATAAAACAATTGAATCACAATTATACCACAATAGCAGTATAAAATATTTTATTAGTTACATTTACGATAGCATGGGACTATTAAGGGATTTGAACTTGAGACTATTGACGACGTGTTAAGGAATTCAAACATGAGACCTCTAGGTTCTAGGCAATCTGCACATGTATTGATTTTCTTAGTAAATGATACATGTCCATACCAGCCGAATACGCCGCCACTGATTGGCACTTCGTGGTCATTATTTGCAAAATCATATTGACAATTCGACTGGAGAAATCATCTGTTGGAGTCCACATTAATAGGACTTTTAGCTATATAAAATGATTGAATCACAAGTAGATCACAATTATACCACAATAGCAGTATAAAAAATATTTTATTACTTAATTTTACGATAGCCTCAAATATTGTTTTACAAATTATTCCACCAAACCATAGTTAGTAAAATATGGTATGAGAATGTTACGTATAAAATACGTATGTGTACTTTATTTCATTTTAACCTAATGTTATGTTTAATAGTAAGTTGATAATCATAAATATATAATATTAACTATTCTAAAAATAATAAAAATATATAAATAATAGTAAAGTTAACAATTTAAGTCATTAAATACGGATATTAAACGTGTTATACGGGTTTTATACGTGTTTAGTATGAGAGACATCAAATGAACTAAAAAAATGGAAAAGCTTGACAATAATACAGATACGGAAGTTTTAAACGGATAAAGTACGTACGGGATACATATACGTGTATTAAACGAAATATTTACTAACTATACACCAAACACATTAGCTCAGCTAATTCTTGTCTAACTTATTCAACCTTTAAATAGGTCACCAAAGTCGCCCAAAGTGGTCCAACCCAAGCGTAGTAATTTTGCGGCGCTGGATGGGCATTAATCCATGAAGTTTTGAATCCATAGAAACAGGGTCTACTGAGCCCAGATCATATGGGCTGGCTCAACTCATACTGTGCGTGGAGCAAAATTTGACATCAAAGTGCAAATCCACCAGAGTATTGGCTGTTTTAAGATGAATTTTCTCTAAATGCATCATGCTCTAGACTCACTCACTTTATCCTTTTTAGTCATCCGTAGCTCTCGAATATTATGATAATTACGTAGACCGAAAATCTCGCTTATTCGTCCACAATTTTACAAACGATATCTCAAAGAAATTTCAATAAACATCGACGTTCTAAGAAAATTTGTAACATCATATCCAGAAATGTTAAATATGATAGTCTAAAAGGGTACGAGCGGATTTTCCACAAATGACATACAAAAATTTATCCAAAAAAGGGGGGCATTCCAAGAATTGAACTCAGGACCTCTCGCACCCTAAGCGAGAATCATACCACTAGACCAAATGCCCATTGTCGTTATGAGGTAAATGCTTATAAGTCACCTTCAATTTACTTGCCACAACATCATCCATATGAGTATGTCGACGATTGTGAGCGCCTCAATCTCTCAAATAATCCAACTCTACATCGATAATATCATTCTCCTTTTTTTTTTAATAACAAAGCATTTCGTTTCTCAAATCTTTTTAATTCGATAATCAATCTATAATATATTTTGTCTTTTGCGTCGATCTGCTCCGACACGCATATCAAATTAACATCCAACACATTGTGTATTCACTTAATGGACCGTTAAATTATATTTTCATCATTCCGCAAGTCTGACATAGAAGCAAAAGTTTCAGTGCACTTGTTAGTTATTATAGCAATTGAGAGGCAGCAGCGATTATTAAATATTTAACAGCTTTTACCGGTCATCACCGTCAGTCTCACGATAATAACTAACTTATTTATTTCACCATTTACTATGAAGACATCGATATTCGTACAGCTGCACATTGGTGTCTCTCTTTTTTTTTTACAGCGCCATGTAGTTTAAGGGGTCGTTTAGAAGTTATGATTCTAAATGAATGATTCTTTGAATTCATGTATTCTGGAGAATTCATCGTTTTTTTGTTCCAAAACTTTATTCAATATATGCATTTGAGGTGGACCCTCAAATCTCA